TCGTCGTATAATACATACGTCAGAAACGTCGGAAACATACTCAAAACCATTCATATAAAATTTCACTAATTTCTGCTCAACATAGTGCAACGAAATTTTGAAAAAAAAAAATTGACAAAACACCTTGAAGTTTCGGGGCTTCGAAGATATTACTGTTTTTGCCTGAAGCCTTCGAAAAACTTCAAAAAGCAAGCAAGATTCATTGTGCCATGAAAATACAAGCTTCCACGAACAGGATAATATATCCTGGTCTTCTATACGTAATCCTTCCGATCTTTATACAAAAATTTTATAATGTAGTACTGAAAGACTCTCTGTTCTTCTATTAGTTTCCATATTTTCTTCTATTAAAATACCACCTTCTTGTTTTAAAAAAACGTTCCGATCTTTCAAAAGAGGTCCTTCTGGTTCTCATAACGGATAAATTCTGGACTTCTATAAGGATGTTTTATGGACTTTCAATCTATAAATCTAGCGATCATCTATAATAAGTCGTTAAGGTCTTTTAAACGAAGAAGTTCCAGTTTTCTATAGGGACTACCTCTGGTCTACTATAAAAATATTTCTGGCCTTATATAAGAAGAACACCAGGAAAATACCTTCTTCTAAAAGAAGAGATTCCGGTCTTCTATAAGAAAAAACTTTCGGTTTTCTGTAGGAAGTCCTTCTGATCTAAAGGAAACAATCGGACCTATATGTGTTCTATAAGAATAATTTATCGCCATTTTTAGATATTCTGGTTCTCTATAGGATGACTTTCTGGTCCTCTACATGAAAACCTTCCTTTCATCTATAAGAAGACCTTCTGGTCTGTTATATGAAGAACTTCTGGATTTCTATAAGAGGACGTTTTGGGTTTCTATAAAAATACTTCTTATAGAAGACCAAAAAATGTTCTTACAGAAGACCACTTCTTTTAGAAGACCAGAAAGTCTTATTATACATACAAGTTCAGATGATCACCTATAGGAAATCTTTCAGATCTTCTATACTTCTTTAAGAAGATTTCTACTATTATTCTTAAAGAAGTCTTTCTTCTATAAGAAGAGCTTTTAATATTTTTTGCCTTCAGCTCTTCTATGAAGAAGACCTTCAGCTCTTCGATGAAGAAGACCTTCGGCTCTTGTATGAAGATGACCTTCAGCTCTTCGATGAAGAATAAGACCTTCCAGCTCTTCTATAAAGAAGAAGACCTTCCAGCTCTTCTATGAAGAAGAAGACCTTCCAGAAGAAGAAGACCTTCCAGCTCTTCTATGAAGAAGAAGACCTTCCAGCTCTTCTATGAAGAAGAAGACCTTCCAGCTCTTCTATGAAGAAGAAGACCTTCCAGCTCTTCTATGAAGAAGAAGACCTTCCAGCTCTTCTATGAAGAAGAAGACCTTCCAGCTCTTCAATGAAGAAGAAGACCTTCCAGCTCTTCTATGAAGAAGAAGACCTTCCAGCTCTTCTATGAAGAAGAAGACCTTCCAGCTCTTCTATGAAGAAGAAGACCTTCCAGCTCTTCTATGAAGAAGAAGACCTTCCAGCTCTTCTATGAAGAAGAAGACCTTCCAGCTCTTCAATGAAGAAGAAGACCTTCCAGCTCTTCTATGAAGAAGAAGACCTTCCAGCTCTTCTATGAAGAATAAGACCTTCCAGCTCATCTTTGAAGAATAAGGCCTTCCAGCTCTTCTATGAAGAATAAGACCTTCCAGCTCTTCTATGAAGAAGACCTTCCAGCTCTTCTATGAAGAAGAAGACCTTCCAGCTCTTCTATAAAGAAGAAGACCTTCCAGCTCTTCTATGAAGAAGAATACCTTCCGGCCTTGCATACGAAGATCTTCTGCTATTCTATAAGAAAACCTTCCGGCCTTCTCTAAGCAGACCTTCTGGCCTTCTATAAGAAGATTTCTGGCCTTCTTAAGGAAGATTTTCTGGGTTCTATAAGAAGACATTCTGCTCGTTTTTTTGCAATGGTGTTTTGATAAATTAGTTTAGATACCTGCCAGCCACCTTGAACCACTCCACAGCATCCAATTTACCCCGCAACCACTAACAACGACAAACTTTTGTTTGAAAGAAACAGATTGCATCGGCAGTAGCATCACCACCACCAACGAGGAACATTGTACGGTTCCCCTATGGTTATGTTCTTTTATATCCTACGGATTAAAAAATGTTGGAACCTATTTGCCGTGTTATTGTTGTATTTCTATTCTATGTCCTTTTGGCATTGTCGGGATGCGTTTTTCGCTTGTTTGCCATGATGAAGATGATGTTGTTGCGCGGTTTGGTTGTCTTTGGGTGCCATTGTTGTTTCCTCTGTACAAAGATTAACAATGACACTGACATTGTGTGGTCAATTGACATTTATTTCATTGTGGATGACAATCATACATCCCCAACGACAACAACAACAGCAATAATAATAACAACACTGTCAGTGTATTGGTGGATCCTTTATTTAACATGGCCTTGTGCCATCGTTTTTTTTTTCGATTTTCTTTTCTTGTGTTGAGTGGCAGTTTTGTTAAGATTTTGAAGTTGTTGTTTTTCTGTTTGTTGTAATTTTTTTTAACACAAACCATACAATATCTGGCAACCATTGTTATTTGTTTTTGTTGTATTGAGGTATTTTTTATTTTTTCTGTGCGAAAATCTAATAAAGTTACTTTGCCATTTTAAAGTTGCAGTCTTGCATTTGTTGTGGAGTTTTTCTCGCCTGGTTTTTGTTTTCTAAATCTTTAGCAGTGAAATAAAAAAGACGACTTAAATAGTAAAAAAACAACAACAATTGAAATTGTTCATTTGTGTGTCTAAGGAGGGTGCAGTAATAATTATTCTTGTAGAAGAGCAGAAGGTCTTCTTATAGAAATGTAGAAGGTCTTCTTATAGAGGAGCAGAAGGTCTTCTTGTAGAAGAGCGGAAGGTCTTCTTAAAGAAAGACAGAAGACCAGAAGGCCCTCATAAAAAGCCCAGAAAGTCTTCTTATAGAAAAGCAGAAGTTCTTCTTATAGAATGCCAGAAAGTCTTTCTATAGAAGAGCAGGAGGTCTTCTTATAGAAAAGCAGAACGTCTTCTTGTAGAAGGCCAGAAGGTCTTCTTATCGAATGCCAGAAGGTCTTCTTATAAAAGGCCAAAAGGTCTTCTTATAAAAGGCCAGAAGCTCTTCTTATAAAAGAACAGAAGGTATCTTTATAAAAAATCAGAAGGTCTTCTAGTCTTGTTATAGAAGGCCAGAAGGTCTCAAAAAAGGCCCGAATGTGTTCTTACAGAAGTGCAGAAGGTTTTGTTATAGAAGAGCAGAAGCTCTTCTTATAGAATTGCAGAAGGAGTTTTTATAGAAGACCAGAAGGTCTTCTCATAGAAGACCAGAGGTCTTCTCATAGTAGACCAGAGATCTTCTTATAGTAGACCAGAGGTCTTCTCATAGTAGACCAGAAGATCTTGTCATAGAAGAGCAGAAGGTCTTCTCATAGAAGACCAGAAGGTCTTCTCAGAAGGTCTTCTTATAGAAGAGCAGAAGGTCTTCTTATAGAAGAGCAGAAGGTCTTCTTATAGAAGAGCAGAAGGTCTTCTAATAAAAGAGCAGAATGTCTTCTCACAGAAGACCAGAAGGTCTTCTCATAAAAGAGGAGAATGTCTTCTCATAGAAGACCAGAAAGTCTTCTCATAGAAGACCAGGAGGTCTTCTCATAGAAGACCAGGAGGTCTTCTCATAGAAGACCAGGAGGTCTTCTCATAGAAGACCAGGAGGTCTTCTCATAGAAGACCAGAAGGTCTTCTCATGGAAGACCAGAAGGTCTTCTCATGGAAGACCAGAAGGTCTTCTCATGGAAGACCAGAAGGTCTTCTCATGGAAGACCAGAAGGTCTTCTCATGGAAGACCAGAAGGTCTTCTCATAGAAGACCAGAAGGTCTTCTCATAGAAGACCAGAAGGTCTTCTCATAGAAGACCAGAAGGTCTTCTCATAGAAGACCAGGAGGTCTTCTCATAGAAGACCAGGAGGTCTTCTCATAGAAGACCAGAAGGTCTTCTCATGGAAGACCAGAAGGTCTTCTCATCGAAGACCAGAAGGTCTTCTCATCGAAGACCAGAAGGTCTTCTCATCGAAGACCAGAAGGTCTTCTCATCGAAGACCAGAAGGTCTTCTCATCGAAGACCAGAAGGTCTTCTCATCGAAGACCAGAAGGTCTTCTCATCGAAGACCAGAAGGTCTTCTCATAGAAGACCAAAATGTCTTCTCATAGAAGGCCAGAAGATCTTCTCATAGATGGGCAGGAGGTCTTCTCATAGAAGAACAGAAGGTCTTCTCTAAGAAGGCCAGAAGGTCTTCTCATAGAATACCAGAAGGTCTTCTCATAGAATACCAGAAGGTCTTCTCATAGAATACCAGAAGGTCTTCTCATAGAAGACCAGAAGGTCTTCTCAACATTTAGAAGATCAACATCTCTTTCTCAAGATCTTCAAATAGAATATTAGAAGGACTTTTTAAAGCAGATCTGTTTCCAATAATTCCCAACCCACCACAACATGTCTGTCAAAATGTGCGTGCCTTTTGTACAAAGTGTTTCGTTTTGCCATCTGCTTGGAAAATTGCAATTGACCAAAATTTGGAAACAAATGACAAAATAAAAACAACAAAGCTTATACGTACACGTTACCATTTTACTGCAGACTGCAATCAGACCGACAGACAGACCGACCATAATAAGATATATCCAAGACAAATAAAAATGGACATCATTGTTGCTCTTTTTTTCGTCTGTGGCCATTTCTATAAGAAAATAATAGCATCTAATCAAGAAAACTGTCTCTCAAGATTAAGCGACAATTTACCCGGGAATGGTGATGAAGGCAATACGAAACGAAAGGAAAACTTTAAGTAAAGTAAAGCGGATTTGATGTTTTTTCGTAAAGTTTTTTTTATTTCCTAATAACTATTCTTATTTTAACTTAAATCAACTTTAATTTATGTATACTAATTAACAAAACTTAATGGACAGCATTTTTTACCGCTTCAGCATTTTACCACTTGTCCAAAGAATTGTATGCCATCCTTGTTGGTTATCATGAACAGGAATGGATGACTTATATCCACAACTTCTGGTGTAATTCTCAGATAAGAATAAGCATTCCAAAATAAGACAGCTACAAGAAAATTAGAAGATTTATAATATTATATATTTTCTTACAAAATTTAAAAATATTACATAGATGTAACTGAATTTAAATGTAATATGTCTAATATGTTCTATTGCAATTGACGATACGAAAACTTCAAAAAGCATCTTGAATTTTCAATTCTTATTACAATTGAATTCAAAGACATGCAACCATTACAAAAGTAGACCGAGCTAGTCCACCTCTGATACTAAATTTCTTACATAAAATATTAAATTTTTTTTCCAAAAATAAAGTTAATTTTGTACACAGTTTGTACTAAAATATATACTTACTAATTTTTTCGAAATCACCGATTCCATGTTCCTTAAACTTCAATTTGATTGTCTGTTGTATGCTGTCATATTGGCTGATGTCCTGATCGGATATCTGAAATAAAAAATATTTGATTACAAACAAGTGAAAAAGCGTTAAGTTCAGCCAGGCCGAACTTTGGATACCCTCCACCATAGTTATACTGACAGATACATGCAATGAAAATATAGGGAACATACCAAAAAGTGGGCATATACCGATAATTCTACAAACCGATTTATGTAAACCATTATGTACATCAAATACAAACTTCAGCAATTTTTAATGGGGATTTTTCCTAAAATCTGTAAGATCCAAAAAGTGGACTGATACTGATAACGCATGGTAGAGTATAAAATCCTCAAACTACTGTAATTTAGATTATAAATTTATATGAGGCTATGCCTAAAGGGGGACCAATATTGATTACATAGTGTAGGAAATAGTGCATATTTGGGGATATCATTATATGAGGGCTATGCCTAATTAATGACCGATATATGCCAATTTTGAACCCAATATTTTAATTGTTTATCTCAATTCTTTCCTTCAGGAGGTATCACTATATTGAGCAGATGACTAAATATCTGCCGATATATTTCGTTCTCGTAATGTTTGAGTTTTCTTTTATCACAATATCTATAGAAGGCGGAATACTTACAACAGATGGCTAAATAGTCTTTTAGAGGTAAACATTGACTATTTCCCGTAACGTCTACCCAACCCCAAAACACGGAACAAATCAGATAACTATTTTAATATAAACCAGTAAGGAAAGTGGTAAAGTCGGACGTGGCCGACTATATGATACCCTTCACCACATTGGGTAAATTCAACAGATGAATCTTAACAGACATCGCATTTTTAATTTTCACGAAACTTAACACACATCATTCTAGACTTTATTCAGTACGCTGTACCAAATTTCGTGGAAATCGAAAGGTATACAGAGACTTTGGTACACCATTTTCCTTAAATCGGACGAAAATATATTTGGGAGATATATCTAAATCTGAACCGATTTTCACGAAACTTAGCACACATCATTCTAGGCTTTATTCAGTACGCTGTGCCAAATTTCGTGCAAATCGAAAGATATTAAGGGACATTGGTGCACCATTTACCTTAAATCGGACGAAAATTTATATGGGAGCTATACATAAATCTGTACCGATTTTTATGAAACTTAGCACACTCCATTCTAGGCTTAATTAAGTACGCTGTGCCAAATTTCGTGCAAATCAAAAGATATATAGGGACTTTGGTGCACCATTTACCTTAAATCGGACGAAAATATATATGGGAGCTATATCTAAATCTAAACCGATTTTTCTAAATTTCATTAGGGTTCGTCCTTGGGCCAAATAAGTGACGTATGCCAAATTTCATCCAATTCGGATAATAAATGCAACCTGTACTTTGTTTACAATTTAACATGGACAGACAGACAGACGGACGGACAGACGGACGGACGGGCATGCATAAATCGACTTAAAAAGTGATTATATGCATATTCTCAAAAGGAACCATGGGTCTATCTTGATTCTTTTTGCCTGTTACAAACATATTCACAAAGACATAATACCCTGTACCACAGTGTGGTGAAGGGTATAAAAAGGGGGTTATATGGGGACTACCCCTAAAAAGGGGTGAATGTTAATAATTTTTGGTGGGGAGATTTAACCGAATACGGTTAAAAAACATCAAAATATCGAAAATTGGGGGTACCCTTATATGGGAACTATCCGAAAAAATTGATATATATTTATAACTGTTTGTGGAGAGCCAATTCGGTGAAAAAATCCGGTCAAAACTCCTCAAAAACTGGAAATTGGAAGGTAGCCTTATATGGGGGCTACCAGAAAAAGTGGACCTATATTTATAATTGTTAGTGGGGAAATTTGGTACCCAATAAAAACGTAATGTACCAAATTTGAGCGAATTCGGTTGAAACCCGCGTTCAAAAACCCTAAAATACCGAAAATTGAGAGGTACCCTTATATGGGGGCTACCCGAAAAAATTGACCTATATTTTAGTTTAGGGTTTTGCTACCCAATTAGAACTCAAAGTACCGAATTTCAGCGAATTCGGTCGAAAAATGCGACAAAACCCCCCCCCCCCCCAAAATACCGCAAAATTGAGGGTACCCTTATATGGGGGCTATCCGAAAATATGGACCCATATTTATAATTTTTAGTGGAGAGATTTGCTACCCAATAAGAACTCAATATACCAAATTTCAGAGAATTCAGTTTAAAAACGCGCTCAAGAACCTCAAAATACCGAAAATTGGGCGGTACTCTTATATGGGAGCTATTTCCAAATGTGGGCCGATAAAGCCCATCTTCGAACTTGACCAGCCTGCAAAATTTTGGCGATCTATCTCCATTCGAGAACGAATTTAAATATGTGATCCTTATCTAGTAGTTAACCGACAACATCAGTTCATACACATGCGTTCCTGCAATCTCTATTAGGTATGCCTAGTCTCAAAATGCAATCTCAATCCGACACCCTTTTGAAATATGTATCGAAGCATCTGCACCAATTAAAAACCCAGTAAGGAAAGTTCAAAAGTCGGACGGGGCCGACTATATGATACCCTTCACCACTATGGGTGGAGGCGCTAATATATACAATATCCTGTGAAATGGAATCGGGCGAAATCAAATGTGTGATTTACATAGATATTTGAACCTATTACAAAACCCCATTTTGAAATCTTTGAAAAATTCTATGTCAGTCGGGGAGACTTGGATTCTTTGGCGTCCAATTTGTATAAAACCTAGCAAAACTATGTATGCATATTTGGTATGCTGCGGCATAATGCGCCGTCCACAATTTTATCTCGTGTATATGGAACAGACGTAGGCTCCTCGGTGAACCATTTACGTAAAATCAGACGAAAATATATATAGGAGATATATCTATATCTAACCGATTATAACGAAATACCCAATTTCGTGCAAATCGAATGATATAAAGAGGCTTTGGTGCATCATTAACAAAAATCTGACGAAAATACACATGGCAGCTATATCTAAATCTGAACCGACTTTCCCAAAAATTAACACGCATTATTCTAGACTTAGTTCAGTTTGTTATGCAGAATTTCGTGCAAATCGGAAAATATATAGGGACATTGGTGCATTATTTACATTAAATCGGTGAAAATATATACGTGAGCTATACTAAACCTAACCCAATTTTCACGACACTTAGCACACATCATTCTAGACTTAATTCAATATACTGTGCCAAACTTTGAGGAAATCGAGAGATATATAGGTACTTTGGTGGTAAATTAAGGACGCTATGTCAAATTTCACAAAAAAAAACGGAATCACATAAAATCGAAACGCCAAACTTTGAGGAAATCGAAAGATATATAGGGACTTTGGTGCACCATATACTTAAAATGGGACAAATATATATATGGGAGCTATGTCTAACTTTGAATCGATTTTCACGGAACTTGGCGCACATCACTCCAGACTCAATTATGTGCTCTGTGGCAAATTTCGTGAAAATCGAGTGATATATAAGGACTTTCGTGCACCATTTACATCTAAGCGGACAAAAATATATATATGGGAGCCACATCTAAAACCGATTTTCACGAAACTTAGCACACATCATTCTAAACTTATGTCAGTACGAAATGCCAAATTTCGTGCAACTCGAAAGATATATATAGGGACATTGGTGCACCATTTATATTAAATATTATATATATAGATATAGGGACTTTGGTGCACCATTTATATTAAATCGGACGAAAATATATATATATATATATATATATATATATATGGGAGCTATATCTAAATCTGAACCGATTTTCAGGAAACTTAACACACATCATCCTAGACCTAATTCATTACGCTGTGCTAAATTTCGTGCAAATCGAAAGATATATAGGGACTTTGGTACACCATTTACATTAAATCGGACGAAAATAAATATGGGAGCTATATGCAAATCTGAACCGATATTTACCAATTTCAATATGATTTGTCCTTGTGCCAAATAAATGAGCTGTGCCAAATTTCATCCAATACGAAACATAAATGCAACCTGTACTTTTTTACAATTTAACATGAACATACAGACGGACGGACATGCATAAATCGACTTAGAAAGTGATTATATGCATATTCTCAAAAGAAACCATGTGTCTATCTCGTTACAAACATATGCACAAAGACATAATACCCTGTACCACAGTGTGGTGAAGGATATAAAAAGGGTTATATGGGAACTACCCCTAAAAGGGGGCAGTTATTAAAAATATTTGGTAGAGAGAACCTCAAAATATCGACAATTGGGGGTACCCTTATATGGGGACTATCAGAAAAAATTTACCTACATTTATAATTTTTAGTGGGGAAATTTGCCACCAATAAGAACTCAAAGTACCAAATTTCAGTCAATTCGGTAGAAAAACGAGCTCAAGAACACCAAAATACCGTAAATTGGGGGGACCCTTATATGGGGGCTACCCAACAAAATTTACCTATATTTATAATAACAACTCAAAGAATTGGCTTCCCTCATCTTGGTCGATGATGATGTAGCCATCACTGGTAAAAAATCTCGACTGTCTTGAAGGCCGCCAACGTTGATGTTGAACCTTACTGACCCGGTTTGTTCGCCAAGGCTTTGGAAGGTGTCAATGTTAAGGATTTGATAAACGCCATCGGATCCGGTGCTAGCGCTGCCCCACCTGCCGCTTAAGCCAAGAAAGAAGAAACGAAGAAGGAAGAAGGAAGAAGAACCCGAAGAGTCCGATGACGATATGGTCTTTGCTCTCTTCGATTAAACTGGACGACACAATGGTTTGTTTTGTTTTTACCATCAACAATTAAAGCCAATTCGGTGAAAATCCAATCAAAACCCCCCAAAATCTGAAAATCGGGAGGTACCGATATATGGGGGCTATCAGAAAAAGTGGACATATATTTACAATTTTTATTGGAGAAATTTGTTAACGACTATGCAAAATTTTGGCATTCTATCTCAATTCGTTTAGGCGCTAGAGTGATTACAACAGACAGACGGACATGCTTAGAACGTCATAGAATTTTACGCTGATCAAGAATATATATACTTTATAGGGTCGGAAATGATTATTTCGAAAAAAAATAAAACTAATACACCCTCCGTACTATGGTGGAGGGTTTAAAAACCAAATTAGAGGTAATTAGATTGAATAACGTGACCAAAGCTTCAAAATACTGAATATTGGGGAGTACCCATTTTTCGGGGTAGTTCTCATATAACGAGAACTACCTCGAAACATGGGTCAATGTTGATAAGTTTTGGTAGGTAGATTTTCAACACATTGCGAAACGAGATAGACACATGGTTCCTTTTGAGAACATGCATAGAATCACTTTCTGATTCGATTTATGCACGTCCGTCCATCTGTTGATGTTAAATTGTAAAGTGCAAGTACGATTACGATGAAATTTGGCACAAGTCACTTATTGGCCCAAGGACTAATTCTATTGAAATTGGGAAAAATCGGTTCAGATTTAGATATAGCTACCATATATATTTTCGTCCGATTTAAGGTAAATGGGGCACCAAAGTCCCTCTATATGTTTCGATTTGCACGAAATTTTGCACAGAGTACTGAATTAGGTCCAGAATTATGTGTGCCAAGTTTCTAGAAAATCGATTCAGATTTAGATATAGCTCCCATATATGGCTTCGTCCGATTTAAGATAAATGTTGCACCAAAGTCCCTATATAACATTCGATTTGCATGAAATTGGGCATAGAGTACTGAATTAGGTGCAGAATGATGTGTGCCAAGTTTCTAGAAAATCGGCTCCGAGTTAGATATAGCTCCCATATATAATTTCGTCCAACTTCTCAATCTGTTCAGATTGAGATATTGCTCCCATATATAGTTTTGCCGATTTTATGTAAATGGTACACCAATGTCCCTATATATCATTCGATTTGTGCGAAATTTGGCATAGCGTACTGAATTGGGTCCAAAATGATGTGTGCTAAGCAGAGCTCCGAAATGCTCGCTCGAATTCGAGTAAAGAGTGAAAATCGCTCGAATTCGAGCGGGAGTACTCCTGCGAGTAGAAAAAGTAAATAGAGTATACTCTATTTTTCTCTGCCACTCAAATAAGAGCACAAGTGCTTCGCTCGTTTTCGAGTGGGAGTGAAATACGCTCGGAATCGAACAGATTACGCTCATGCCGAGTACTCTTTTATTTTTATTTATTTTTTTGTTTTGTTTGTGATACCGTTGTTTTACTTGATGTTGTTTGTGTGCATTGTTTGTTTGTGTTGTGATGTTTGGTTTGCAGTACTGCTGGGAAAGCATGCATCAACAAGCTCGTTCTCTGCGTTCTCTTTATGTAAGTCATTTCATATAAGATTTTTATTTGTACCTCACATGTGTAACCATTTTCAATAAACAAAATAATCAATGCCCTTTTATGTTTTTTGAACATGATCTATCTCCCCACAGCACACAAAAGATCAACATCAAAAAAAATTTGCTACTACACACAAATAACCAAACAACCAAATTTATTTATCCACTCGATTTTACTCTTAGAGTGAACTCTTACTCTATTTCGAACATTTTGACTCACACTCTTTTTCTTCAACAAGGAGTACTCGCGAGCACTCCCAAACAAAATAAAAGAGTGGAGAGTATACTCTCTAAAAACTCGTACTCTTTACTTACTCCCACTCGGGAGTATTTTTCACTCGCGAGTAAAATCGAGCAAATCGGAGCTCTGGTGCTAAGTTTCGTGAAAATCGGTTCAGATTTAGATATAGCTCAAATATTGGCATACCCGCACACAATTTTTGACAAAGTACTGAAGTTACTATAACCTTTCGTGTGTCAAGTTATCTTGAAATTGGTTCAGATTTACATATAGTTCCAATATGTACTTTCGCCCGTTGAGAATTCAAAATACTAAATTATAGCCAATTTGGTTGAAAGAGGAACGCCCAAAATATTAAATAATGAGGGGTACCCCTAAAATTCCCAATATTTGGGGATAGCGTTATATGGGCCTATACTACAACCAGGACCGAAATAACCCATTTTCAATACCAAACAATATTTGCGCAAAAGTACAAAACTCTATCTTAAATATCGATAAACCTCATTTGATTGTTTAAAAAATCTAAACTGTATGCATAACAGCTAGTATGTTAATTGAAACCGGTACAAAAATCGATTTTATTATCTGTAAGTTCCGTTCCAAAATGTAGACAACCGGTTTATTTTTCCGTGAATTAATGGAAAATATTTCCGACGAATCCGGCAATTGTTAATACCAAATTTTTTAGCGCAAATATATATATATATATTTTCTCTGAGAATTGAACCCAGGACCCTTTCTAATATGAACAATTTGCCGAATAGTGTAATGCATGTTTCCTCAAACGACTCAGTCTAGAGCGTACCACAGATATATTACGATTTAAGTTCATGTTTACTGGTACATACACCTTTTAAACCTCTTCTTTATGTTCTGTATTTTAATCAAAATGCCGCCACACTTACCTCATCATAAAACTCCACCAAATCCTGTTCATCCTCCAAAGAGAATTTCGGCAACATCACCCGCACCAATGTCATAGCGAACTGAGTTTTACTAATATAATCCACCATATCCATATTCTCAACCAGTTGATCTTTTAACTCTTCCAAACCGTTTTCTTCTTCGGGCAAAATAATCAACAACTTTATTTCATGTAAATGTAATGGCAGCTCCAAAACACTGGCATTCAACTCCTCAACAAAAGCATAACGAAAAACATCATCCTTCCGTAAATTATCCACTAAATATGTACGATCCCCGGAATCTAGCTGATGAAAAGGTCGTTTACTCGTATCACGTGTTTGGAAATTAAATGTCCAACGTGCTTTCATGGTGATATTTTGTTCGACATAACTTTCATTACGATATTCATCTTTGAGTATGGCCTTGGGTAAATGGGGATCCTCCTCCATTTGTGTTTGTGGGCGGAAACCATAAATCGATGTAGATTCAAAGAGATCTTGGTATAGCTCATAGGCAGCATGCGGAGCTATGGCAAAGTTTTCATCTTCATTTGTGGAATTTAATGTGTGTTGTATATATTCCAGGGTAAATTCCTTGGAATCCATGCTGAAGACTTGGCAGCCGAGGCTTAGTAGGAAGCTGACTAAAAATATTTTAAAAAAATATTGAATTTAAATTATTTCATTATTACCTCACATTAGCTTACCTAATAAGCTACTTTTCATTTTTTCTTCTATTTTATATTTTTATTATTCTAATAAAATAGAAATTGGCACACTCTTACTATCTATCTGTCAGTTTGTGCCTGTCTCGCTGTGTTGTCTGTTGATTAATAAACGATTTGTATTTGATTTCACACTTTACTGTGGCGCTTGGTAAAAACCAATTCTTATCAGTTCTAAGACGAGGCGCAAAGATTTTGAACTTGACACAGTCGTTGTTTGACTTTACTTTTTTTATTTTTTTATAATTATTTATTGATTTTTTTTGTTTTAAAGCCACTTGTTTCGGTTCGAAATTGTAAAGACCGGCAGTGTCATTATCCCATGAATGAATATCAATTCATTGTTTTTGGATTTTCATTGAATTCCATAGTAATCTAGAAAAGTGTGTTATTCATATTTTTATTTCAATAAACATATGATTTTAGTAGGCTGTATTGATGTTCCGTGTGATTTCAATATTTTTGTACAGAGAAACAAATTTTTAACGACTGTTTTCATAATTTCATCCATTTTTACTTATATTTCCTTAGAATATAAGTAAAACCAGTAAGGAAAGTAGTAAAGTCGGATGGGCCGACTATGGGTATATTATATAGCATTATTAACATGAAATGGGATAAAATAAAATATGTGATATTTATCTAAATGTGAATCGGACTAGAACTATCCATAAACATGTCATTCGTTTGGGACAACAGTATGAAAATCGACTTCAAACGAATATCAATAGGTCATCCGTTGGGCTATGTCTGTACTTCTAGAAAACATAACTAGAAAACTTCTAGAAAACTCAATTTTGTACGTTGTGCAAAATTTGATGTCAATCTGACAAACATGAGGAGTTTGATGTACAATTTACTTAAAATCGGACGAAAATATATATGGAAGCTATACCCAAATATGAAACGATTTCAACGAAACTTGTCACAGGTTAAGTTATACTAATGTCGGTACGTTTAGTTCCTATCAGCCATATATTGGTTTCTTGGTGCGTCAATTACTTCATATCAGCTATATCTAAATCCCAACCGATTTTTACGAAACTTGGCACACAAAATTCTGGACTAAATTCCGTACGCTATGCAACATAAGAACTTTGGCACATTATTTAAATTAAATCGGACGAACAAAATATATATATAGATCTGATATATAGGGTTTTTGTTGCACCATTTACCTTAAATCGGACGAAACTATATATGGGAGCTATATCTAAATCTGAATCGATTTTCTCGAAACTTGGCTCACATCATTATGGACCTAATTCAGTACTCTGTGCCAAACTTCATGCAAATCGAAAGATATATAAGGACTTTTGTGTCCAATTTATCTTAAATCGGACGAAACTATATATGAGAGCTATATCTAAATCTGGACCGATTTTCACGAAACGTAGCACACATCATTCCGGATCCAATACAGTACCCTATGCCAAATTTCGTGCAAATCGAAAGATATATAGGGACTTTGGAGACCGATTTACCTTAAATCGGACGAAAATATATATGGGAGCTATATCTAAATCTGATTAAATCTGATTTTCACGAAACTTAGCACACATCATTCAGGACGCAATTCAGTATTCTATGCCAAATTTCGTGCAAATCGAAAGATATATAAGGACTTTGGTGCACCATATACCTTAAATCGGACGAAACTATATATGGGAGCTATATCTAAATCTGAACCGATTTTCACGAAACTTAGCACACATCATTCTAGACTTATTTCAGTATTCTATGCAAAATTTCGTGCAAATCGATAGATATATAGGGACTTTGGTGCATCAATTACATTAAATCGAACGAATATAAATGGGGCTATATCTAAATCTGCACCGATTTTTCCCAATTTCAATAGGGTTCGTCCTTGGGCCAAATAAGTGACCTATGCCAATTTTCATCCAAATCGGATCATAAATGCGACCTGTACTTTGTTCACAAAAATACATGGACGGACATGCGTAAATCGACTCAGAAAGTGATTCTATGCATATTCTCAAAAGGAACCATGTGTCTATCTCGTTTCCGTTTGCCTGTTACAAACATATGCACAAAGACATAATACCCTGTACCACAGTGTGGTGAAGGGTATAAAAACACACCACCACAACCATGATTATGTTTTGGTATCGTTCACCCGTTTATTTGACTACTGTTTCTGTTGCCAACAACCGCCGAGTTCCCACTTATTCGTTTGTGACTAGTTTTGCATTCTATTGTTTCTTTACTTCAGACACTCTTACTAACCTCTACACTGGTGTTACAAAATTCGCATATGTATTTTCCAAAATATTTCGATATAAATACGAAATACAATATATCAAACAAGTGCTGATACGAACAACCCAACCTAATGGTTAACATTTTATATGATTGTTCTAATGACGCAGAACATGAGCATGTTAGTAAATTAGAAGAAACGTGACAAGACATAACGAAGAAGAAGAAAAGATAAAATCGAAATAGAAAAATTAAAACGACAAAAGATTTGTGTGTCATAGAATCACGCCATCACAGCCAAACACACACTCCAAAGTTGTTTTTTTGCTCTCTCTCTCCCTCTCTCTCTCTCTCTCTCTCTCTCTGACAAGAAACCAGTATTTCATATTTTATGAACTGGTCACTTTCTGAACCCTATTAATATGATGTTCGAATTATTTTTTCTGTGTATAAAGTTCAGCATACAGTCAAATATGAAAGTGTAAGCACTATGGAAATTCGCGAACTTTAAATTAAATGAAGTAAAAACGTTGTCAAATTTGACCCGACCCAACATTTTATACCCTCCACCATGTGGTGTACATTCAATATTTCTTTAAATAGTTGGAACTTTTACATGGAAACAATGTAATTGTAAATGGCCTGCCAGTAAATTGTTTATACTCTTAGAAAATTCAATACCGAATCACAGGCACTTAGTTGGAAAAAACTATGCTAGGAACTTTAAAATATCAAAAAAAGTTGAATATAGGACATCTATATTCAATATTTTCAGGGGGAAATATTTTCTTTATCATATATTTGATTATATTATTTGGTTATATTTATTTATAACTAAATTCGATGGAAAAGTTTAGTTTACATTTACTTTGGTCTATAAAGGAAGTCGAAAACCAGTGAGCGGACCATATGATGCCCTACACATAAAACAAAACGTTAGTCGCTTTAGGTTTTGGTTTGAGTTGGAGACGGAATATTGACCGATCATCATATAAATAGCCGTTCTAAGAATTTGGTCAGATCGCCTTCACTGTGTTCCAGAGCGACAAGAACAATTGAACATAAAGGTTTCGGTTGACTGCACAGTTCAACATCACTGAAAACTATAGATGTCGTCCTTGACCATAAGCAGAACTTCAGGTAAAATGTCATAGCGATCAGTGCGACATTTCCGCCCTCTAGTGAGGTAATAGTAATACTAAAAAATGTCATAATACATAGACACCTTTAAATATTTACGTATAATTCCCACATCCGAGTACATACAACAATATAATTGATGTCAATTTAAATGTCAACAACTCCTCTTAGATATGCTATTAACTTATCGGGTCTATGTCATTCAGAAGTAAATATATACGCCATAGAATACAATATCCGTGTCGTAATTGTGGTCTGTAGAGCGACCAGAAAAATAGAAAAAAAAAATAAGTGTTTGGTCCCCCTAATCATCCGATCATTACTTCTTTGGCCAGAACCTGTCATGCATGCAATATTTAGTGACAATTGGTCCATAATTGTGGCCTGTATTGTGTTTACTAATTATAATGGGCAGACGGACGGACATGTCTTGACCGGCTCAGCTAGTCCAGATATGACATTCGGTATACTAAACCAGTAAGGAAAGTAGCAAAGTCTGACTGGGCAGACTATATGATACCCTTCACCACTTTGGGTATATTGTACTTATGTATCCTTACTATTGTATGTCCATGTTCCCTCTAAGGAACACACTCATGTCTTTTTGCAACCTACGATAAATTTAATTTTATACGGGCAGATCGGACAAATTACTGGAAAACAAGTGAAAAAGCGTTAAGTTCGGCCGGGCCGAACTTTGGATACCCTCCACCATAGATATACTGACAGGTACTAGAAATGAAAATATAGGGAACATACCAAAAAGTGGATTATGTAAACCATAATACAAATTTCAGAAAATTTTAATGGATAAATATACCCTCAGCCTTTGGCTAATGAGGGTGTATACACATTAACACGGTGAAAATTTGCCTTTTCGAAATATTGGTTCTAAACCCAATCCGTTTCAGAAAACCTCCACACAGGGGCTAGATCTAAACGCGGCTATAGTTCATTATCGAACCTTACGTTCTAATTTTTAATCTAGCTATCCTCCGCAGGTGAAATGATTACAACAGAGTCTTAGAACCAAATTCAAAGCGTGGAACAAATCAGATAACTATTTTAATATAAAAAAGGGGGTTATATGGGGACTACCCCAAAATGGGGGCGTATATATATAATTTTTGGTAGGGAGATTTGTTACCATATACGACTACAAAATACCAAATTGCAGCGAATTCGGTTAAAAAACGCGCTCAAGAACCTCAAAATATCGAAATTTGCAGGTACCCTTATATGAAGACTACCCGAAAAAAATGACCTCTATTTATAATTTTCTGTGGAGAGATTTGCTACCCAATAATAACTGAAATTACTAAATTACAGCCAATTCGGTAAAAAAATCCGGTCAAAACCCCCCACAAATTGGAAATTGGGAGGTACCCTTATATGGGGGCTACCAGAAAAAGTGGACCTATATTTATAATTTTTAGTGGGGAAATTTGGTACCCAATAAGAACCCAATGTACCAAATTTCAGCGAATTCGGTTGAAACCCGCGCTCAAGAACCCTAAA